ATGGGATTTCCAAATAAGTGGATTTGATGACACCATGTTGATATTCCTCGTGATTTTTAATCACATGCCTTACATATTTTAGGTTTTGATTGTTGTTGTTTTTGTTGATTTTTTTTCTTTTTTTCTGAGCCTCTTATAGTTGCAGTATGATTACTGAGTTCTTCTTTTCTTCTCATACTGAGCATTTTTTTTTCCCTTATGGGAGCTGTGAACAAAACCATGAGAACAAGAACCCTGGGGACTCAAAAAATACCTATGTGTAAATAAAGGTTAACACCGCAGAGATAATTTTCAAAGTAATGCCTTGCTTTTCTTCAAGAAGAGACTTGCACTAGACAACCTCAATGACAGAGAAAACAAGTCTCTCCAGACATGATTGAAACTGTATGCAGTAGCTCCTCAGTACATGGGCTTTTCTCCAGCCTCCCAGATGCAAATAGAGCCCTGGTAACTGCATGTCCACTACACTGCCATGCTTTTTCTGGTATTTTCTTCTTTTGCAGTAATCAAGGGGCATTGTCAAGAAACCTAAACCAAAAAGCTGCTGGTGAAAGAACCTGAAAAAAGTTTTTCATTCTTTCTGGGGGAAGACAACAGATCAAGGATGTCCTGCTTCTTGAGCAAGGAGGATGTGGCTGTCCTGAACTGTCTTTTTCAAGTTGCTACACTTGACTTTTTAACCAGGCACCTTTCTTACCTTCCTTACTGATGCATGGCCAACAAGTTGAGAGGCAGTCTGCACATTCAGGGGCAAGGTGCTAGGGTGTAAGGTAGAAGTGATTAATCAAAACTTTCTTTGCAGCATTTACTATGCACCAAAATAAAAAAGTGGGATGGGAAAGATATAAAAACTAACAGGGAAGAGAAAAGTGAACTTAGAGCAACTTCAGGTTTGTATGTTGAACTCTGAAGACTGTAGGGGGAATAAAAACATCATCTCAACTTAAACTAGCTCAGCAATGAGGCATGTACTAATAGCTAGTTTGAGTCAACTTGAATTAAACAGGATCCCATGAGCTTCTGAGATGAGCCCAGACATGAAGGTAGCACAGCCCCTGGCACCCAGCTACCACAAGGCAAGTGAAGAAGGCAAGAGAGACACAGATGTGACCTTGCACTTTAAGGGAGTAAGATGTTTCCCAAGGATGACAAGACTCTCTCACAAAAATACATTTTATCCATAGATGCTTGTGTTGTATACAACATGGCACAGGCCTTTATATTAGGAAAACAAAGTTTCCAGAATGAAGGCAGAAACAGGGAGGAGGGAGAAATATATTTTTGACTGTGAAGCACAACATATGCTAGTGTGAAGCTGAACAGCTTTCCATTTAGCATATTCTAGCCAATTTATTAGTAACACCTGACATACCCATGGTTCCTCATTAGTTACCTGCCAGCAATGAGCAACTGACTTAATATTGTGTTATTGACTTCATTGTGTTCCTTTCCCCTTCTCTCCCACCAATTAATCTGTTAGTCATGTATTCCTGGAAAATATGGGACAAACAATGTGTTGTTTTTTTTTTTTGTTTGTTTGTTTGTTTTAATCAAAATTGAATATTATTGTAAATAGTCATTAAGGTGTTCTGAAATAAGGTAAAGCCATATTGTTAACTCAGGGATTTTAAGCAAGACTCCTGAGGTGCACTGGTCAGGTCTGCTGGCTGATAGTTATAGGTTAGTTAGAAACCCAGGACAAAGTTGGTTAGATCAAGACTCAACTGGCCTCATCTCTAGTAAGGCCCAGACCAGGCAGCCTTGGAAACAGAGATATCTTTTCATTCATCTACTTCTTTCCAAGGATGAAGAAACAGTACGGAAGGCAGTTCTGTAATCTTCCTTCAGAAGCCTCTCATAAAGAGGTTCCACCATTGTCCCAGATATATCCTCGGTGGTCTTCAGCAAGTTTCTTCTAATCTAAGCTTCACTTGCTACAATTCAAGCTCACTGACACTTATTCCAATTATATCAGATGTACAGAGTAACATTCCTTTCTAATGTATTTGAAGACAGTTATTGTGTCTTTATCAATCTACATTCTAGACAAAATGCTAGTCCCTCCAATGTTGCATTTTGTAGATTTTTCATAATCCATGTGCCTTTTTTCCCTAGTATTAGCAGAAAAAAAAGAGCTACAAGATATTTAGATGTTCTGATGGAGGGTCATACTGTACAAATAACAATTATCGCAGAAGTAAATATTTTGAGGGCCCTTTCCCACCCAAAAGTGTAGCCCTAACAACCCCGAAGAGTTACAACAGAAATTCCCAAGACAAAATACAAAATTACCTGGGCATGAAGAAAATGTAGCTATGTTTGATAGACTTCCAATGTAATACAGAGCAGGGGTATACAAATGGGACAAATCCTTCTAAAATAACCACCTACCCTGGCAGCTTTGATCTCACTTGTGTACACCTAATCTTCCCAATGCAAATATAGAGGCAGCAGACAAAAAGACAAGTTGTCCACTCCAAACTTTCAACCTTGTTTAATAGCATCATACTGGCATTCCCCCCCCCCCTCCACAAACACCATGTTTCCACAATCACAGAACTGTGTACCAAAGCAAGCTAAAAAATTTGCTTCAAAGTATACTCTCAGCAACACAGGAGGTTCCCTCTGAACATGAGGAAGCACTTCTGGGCTGCAGGGGTGACTCAGCAGTGGTACAAGTTCCCCAGAGAGGCTGTGGAGCCTCATCCTTGGAGAGACATGGGCCCGGGCAGTCTGCTCTGGGTGTTCCGATGGAGCAGTGGTTGGAACCAATGGACTCATTGGTTCCAACCACTGAAAGGTCCCTGCCAACCTTACTTTCTGTGATGCTGCAAGTTTAGAAGACCTTGGCCTAACTTGGCCCATCTCTTATCAGAATAAATCATATCTTTCCAATAGCCAGGAACATTCATGAAATGAAGGACTGCAGCACAGGCCATTCACATCCACTTCTTTGTGTCACACCAGCCTTTAAAATTAAAGAGACTAGGTTCTGTTTTTTTCAGTTTAGCTCACTAATGAGCCACTCCTCTTCCTACTTTACAATTTTGTTTGTGTGGAGAATTGACATCTGAACATGCTTAATAATTGTCTATACTCAGCATCCTGAAAGTTTAGGTCCTATGAGACTGCCTTAGTTATAAGCAGAGACTGAGGCATGAGAGGCTGGAGAAAAACCCATCCAGAAGGGATCAGAAGGACCTGAAGACATCAGCTGGATTGTTCAAGGAAAAGACATTTAATGTACCAATATAGTTTTGGGACTAAGGCCTCAGAGATTGTAATTTCCATGATGGTAACAATAAGGCTGTAAAGAGTTAGAGCCTGTGGACAGGATATCCAGACATAACATAATAATCAGTCAAGACTGTAGCAGAGCTGTCAACAGGCTGGTGAAGGAGAAAAGAAGGAATAAAGACATTCACAGACAGAAAGCCAGTAAAATAAATCAAGAGAATCTCTTACTTTAATACCAATTTATTATCATTAAAATAACAAGAAGTAGGTTTAAATCTTTTTGTCTTAAAAATCTAGTGTAACACACAGGTCTCTGTTACAGTTCTACAAAACCTATTGCAAAATTGCATCCCCAAAGTACACCACTCTGCCCTATCCTCCCAGGCATCAATGGTGCGAGTCACAAACAACATAGAAACAGACTGTGTTATACAGTGCTTGTGATAAGGGTTATCATTAGGCCTTGAGATGCTACAAGTTATTCGGCAAGAATTCTGAAACATAAATTTTCCTTTTTGTTAATACTGCTGAAATAATGAAATATTTCACAGATTTTAGTGAAGCCTTAATAATCTCTGAAGAACTCTATTTTCCCCCATATTGCTTCTTTTCTACTAAAGCCTGTCTCCTTCTCTCACTTAGTGACATCAGCCCCATTCCATTCAACAAAACTGCAGTGATGTTTGCTCCCCTCAAAGCATTATGTATTTCTTTTCTGGAGCTAGTGCTCAGGTGTAGCACTTACATTGAACATTACTACCAGAATAACTTGGAAGTATATACTTAAGGAATATTAAATGGTCATGTATTTACCTCCAGCTTCTTGGGAGCTCTACAGCTTCAATTAAGCTGAATATGATAGCAGCACCCAAGAAGTGAACCTAGAGCTAGTTCAGATTTGCCTGGAGAGCAGCAGCCCTGCACTGCTGGTCAGTTGCAGCTTCACACTGCAACTGTTCAAAAAAAAGAAAAGCCTGAGCAAGTCATAATACTGTTCACTAGTGTCTTGAAGAACCACTGAAAGAAAAAAAAAAAAGCACACATTGGTGAAAAGACAGGATGATCCTAATTCTGTCAGGTGTTGTGCTGAATTAAAGCTTACAATCTTACTCAACACTCAAAAATAAGCAGAGGACTCCAAGTGAAATCATTCTGGCTAGCAGAAAATGGTGAACAGAATACAGGTAAACCTTATGTATCTGTGTGGATGTGGTATGTACAAGCTTTCAGGCACAAAAGGTCTGTTCTTCAGGAACAGACTCCTTAGGTTATTTCTCCATGAACTTCTTCAAAGTATCATGTGGAACTAGGGAGCTCACTGAAAACAGTTTCACGTGCATCTCTGTCCACTCTAGATCTAGAGAGTCATGACAAAAACTATAACCACAATCAAAGGATAAACACATGTGGGAGGTACTAGATGGAGAGATTCTATGAACAGACTCCTACAGTTGTCCTACAGCAGCAGTTCACTTGACGCTCTAGGTAGACCCACAAGCCAAACTCCAGAGGTGTTAAATTTACTTGATTAAAAATACTTTCTGGAGTTTGCACTCAGCTGGATCTCTTGAGGGGAAACAACAACAACAACAAAAATATTGCCTATAGCAAAACTACAAAATCTTGCCTTATCTAACATTCTAAATTATTATCTTGCTTTACCTAAGTTTATGAATATCCCATATATCTCTCCTCTTTTAGTTTGAAACCATTTCCTCTCGTGCTATCACAGCAGACTCTGCTGAAGAGTCTGTCCCCTTCTTCCTTACAGACCCCTTTAGTTACTGAAAGGCCACTATATGGTCTACCTGGAGTCTTCTCTTCTTCATGCTGAACAGCCTCAACTCTCTCAGCCTAGGTACTAGAAGCTGTGGAAAGGTTCCTACATGGGCAACACAGAGAAGCTGTGAGAAGGTCCCTCTCATTTTAAGTCTCATAGAATAATATGTAAACATGCAAAGAATCACCTGTCTCATCATAGTCTTTCAAGTACTCAGGAAGTCAAAGTAAAATGACAATTATCTTTCCTAACTAAGTATCTGTCCTAAGTTTTCTAACTAAAATTTACACAGATACAGAATATTTTTGAGCTTTCTAGTGGCATTCCCTTTCACAAAATGAAAATATTTTCAAATGAATTCTGTAGCTCTGATAGCCTATACTGAAATTCAACAGAAAATAAAAAAGCAAAACCAACCAAACAAAAAACAGAACACTCCCTCCCCCCAGAAAGAAAAATTAAAGCTAAAAAACACCACCACTAAAACAACACCTCTCTACCATCCCCCTAAAAGAAACCAACCAAAAAAACAAAACAAAACAAAACAAAACAAAACCTTTAGGGATTGGATCATCAATAGCCCAGTCATTTTGAAAACATTTTCAGGACTTTTTTTTTTTTTTGTGGTCCCTACTCAAAGATCTTTTTAAAGTTAATTCAAAATACCCTCTACCCACATCAAAATCAATCAGTCAATCAAACAAGAAAACCCCCAGGGAAAATTAAACGCCTCATATCTAAGTTGATTAATATTCATGTTGAAAATGTACGGTCTGGTAAAGTTCTGTAGTGTAAACATCCAGTTGTGACTTCTATAATCACTGCCTAAAATCTCAGGGTTCTTTCAACTACCTAAATGTTTAATGCAGCTAAAGGCATGCAAACGTCCAATGAAGATACACTGCACTGACCTAAAGCTGCATTAAAAAAAAAAACACTTTCAAGGTACATACCCACTAAATAAACAAGTTTCAGAAGAAAAGAAAAACATGCTCCCACTAAAAAACACAGCACTAGCCAGTCTGGCATGTATAACATAGGTTTCTCCTTGTAGATCATACGGCGAGTGCATTATTATAAAATATAAAAATAAAATCGTACGAATTGCATGCAACTGTTCATACTGCAGCTCAAGCAATACTGAGGTGTTCCCCTTGTTTCTGTGAAGCAAGCGGACAGTAGCAAACTGCAGGTAGTAATGGTACTGCGATCATTTGATTTCTTCCACAAAGATACACAAAGCTACTTTTAAAAGCCCACAACAGTGAGACATTAAACATACTGACAATTGTCTTGTGAAGAAGTTTTAAATTTCTTTATGCATGTCTAGAGTACCAAACATATCTTTTTTTCCTTTAAGTTCTTTACTAGAATCCCTTTTTTTCAGAAATCACTTCAAAAGAGGTGTTTTCTGCTTTGATCTCATACAATTGTTCATCAAATATAAGCAGATGAAGGTAGTTCATTACATCTTAAAACTGACCTCATCATTATGAAGCATATGTAATACAAAAGTTAAAGATTCCAGTTAAGCATCACCACACACTAACCTTTCATATTTGTATAAGATGATCAACTAGAAGCTATGGAATTATAACTACTGAAACTGTACATAGGCACCTTGCTATTCCATACTCATGGTTCTCTTTTTGAAACATTCCATCTCTGTGACTAGGTGACTTTCAGCCATTTCATCTATTCAGCCGCTGGGTTACCACTTCTCGGTACATGATGGAAATATATATCAGCAGAAGGAAAATGACAAAGAAATCATCCAAGAACCCCAGAATTCCAAAAAGCGCTTCAGGAAGAAAATCCAGAGGTGATGCCAAGTAGAGAAAGGCTCCAAACAAACAGAGGAATATTCTGATGCGAAACATCCAGAAGAGGCCTCCAACAGAAAACATCTCCCTGAATGCATGCCGCAGCAGAGTGGGCAGATCCATAATTCTTTCCATAATCTATGAAGAAACAAGCAAAGAGTTAACATTTAGTCTTTTTTCAGTGTGAAGTTCCTATTACTGCATTACAGCTTAGGTATCTGTTCATTTGCAAGAACAATGACCACCAAATGCTCTACATTTAACTTTGCTGGGTTATAAGTCACTGTTAGAATATTTACATTTTCAAGCAACAGCCACAAACTATATTGCTCATAGTAAAACATACATATCATTTGTCACTAAGTACATTATCTATTAAGAACAGAAAGCAGTGAAGGAAAACAAACTACATAGAAACAAGAAATAGCAAACAGAGTTACTGAAGTTTGATCAGAAGAGAACTACAGATTCCTAGAAAAAAAAAAGTAGTTAAAGTAGAAGAGATTGCATTTCTTCAGAAACATGACACATCTTTCCTCATGATATATGGTGATTCTCAAAAGCTACCAGAGGATCAAACTTCCACGTAAACTAAAGAACCTTTAAATTAACCCATCACTGGATCCTTCTATTTTTATTTTTCACTGTAGTTCTATCATCTTAAATGAGAGACTGCACAAGAGAAAATAGGTATTTTTTGCACTGAATCAATTTCTACTGTATACAGAGCTATGATATCAAAAGGAGTTATTTCCAACACTGAGAAAGTTCTTAAGAAAGGGATATTATATGTGGTTAAGGCAACACATCATGTATAATTAGAAAACAATTCATCTAACCCAGGTTAGGGCCTCGGTGTGGGCTTCTGGGATAACCCAGGACAGTTTATTGACTAGTAGACATACAGCCCTCAGAGAGGTCTGCTGAAGCCTAAAAATTAGTTTCTATCTATTCTGGATCAGATGCATAGCTTAAGAACACAAACCAAAAATCATTTGTCTCTTGAGACTGTAATTTTTCCCTTAGCAATGTTTCATTATTTCAACAGCTGCACCAAAAGCAATGCCTCCTTTTTATTACACTGACCCATGATGCCAGAGGCAGACACTGACATTATGGCAGCAGAGGGTGAATCTTCCCACCAATACCCCATTACATGTTGTTGCTGTGTGACAGAGGGTAGCAGAGGGGCACTCTGACACAATGTCATCTGACATGGCAGTGCGTATGAAACAAAGCTGTGTCACTGAATTCCTCCATGCAGAAAAAAGGGCATCCACTGATATTCACCACACTTGTGAAGGATTATGGAGAGCAAACAGTGGATGTGAGCACAGTGAGGCAGCGAGTGGTGCATTTCAGCAGTGGTGACAGCAGCAATGGGTCATCTCAGGTGGTGCAGACTGTTATGAGCAGCCTCTTGTTCATTGCCGGTGGAAATGCTGGAAATGCACAGCTAATGGTGGTGACTGTGTTGAAAAATAGTGTTTCATAGCTGAGAACATGCTCTATCAAATAATGTTACTGTGCTCTTGTATCTACTGCAGTTTCCATGGAAGTAAATAGGAGCAATTACTTTCAGAGTATCTTACGTATATGCTGTCCAAGACAATTTCTCTTTACTCAGTGCAGCCCAGACAAGGCAAAAGGTTGGAAAACCATTACATATGTGCATCCAAATCCAATGAACAGCTGACAACAAGCAGTATATCAAAGTTATTGGCACCCACATACATATATTTCATTTCACGAGTCAAGACATGCACAGAGAAGACAGGTTGACTTTCTCAAGTCAAAGGTTGAGTTTCTCAAGTTCACAGAACTTCAACCATGTCTCTTAGCTATTTATTAAAAAAAAAAAAAAATCCTGCTTCCTTCACTCAGAGGTCAAAATACACACTGTAATATAACCCAGTGGGGAAAAAAAAATAAAAATGAAAACAGCATACAGCTTGAAATCTGAAGAAAGGCACAGTAGAACTTCAGACTCTTCTGATCAATTTAAAGAGATTAATCAGGGGAGCATTTTTTCTTACAGCTCATTTATTTCATTAAGCATTTTTACTAGTTATTAAATCCTTTCAAAGTAAGGACTTACATTTCAAGAAGTAGGTTGACACAGAAAAAAGGAATCCAAGGCTTATTAGCAATTCTTGTTCACAACAGAAATGTAATATCTTTGTGGAAACTTCCAAGTAAGTACATTTCAAGCTTGTAGACCTGTCTCAATTTAACTTAATTTATCTAACTTAATCACTCAATTCCTGGAGGCATTCAAAGCCAGGTTGGATGGAGTCCTGGGCAGCCTGATCTGCTGCATGTCCCAAATCAAGGGGACTGGAACTGGATGGACTTTAAGGTCTCTCCCAGTCCAAACAATTTTATGGTTCTGTGACTCTATTAACCATATAATCATGGATTTCCTAAGGCATGAATGTCCAGCCTTTTGACTTTCCTGTGCCACAATGAATGAAGAGGAATTGTCTTGGGCCACATATATAATATATAACATAGTTATTGCATGCATGTAACAATGTTTTAATATACATTAATTACAATATTTTGAAATATATACTGTTTTTTTCTCTTGTACTTCCCTTTTATCTGTATTTTAGATTTTATCATAAAACAGTTAACTCATTGTGTTACTTTCTTGCAAAAAAAAAAAAAAAAAAAAAGGTGGCTGCTAAATACATGATTCCATCAATCTACAAATAAATATATATATGATACATATATATGTAAATAAATGCAGGTACAATGAGTGTCCTCTGTAAACCAGCCTTTAACATGCTTGGATCAGCAAACTGACACAAGGTGATTATTACTTGTACATTGCCCCCACGTGGTCAGAACAGCAGAAACACTCATCAAATAGTTTCAAAACTAATTAAAAAAAATCATAAGATATTATAGACTTCTTGTAAGTTTTTTGAGATGTTAAAAACTACAAGATTTGTCAGTACTGCATGAGTATTCTGAATATCTCTTCCGCAGTGAAAGTGTTAACACATCGATTTATTTTATGAAATAACACAAGCCCAAGTTTAATAATTAAACAAGACAACTTATATGTCAGCTTAATAATAAGAAATGCGTGTCTTCACAGGCACATCTGTTGGTAGGTTGCAATAGTATCATCAGCAGTTACTGCTTTTTTCTCCCTAGGCTGCACAACCACATGTAATGTACAATACACGTGAGTTTTAATTCAACTGAGTATGTGGGGTGTGCAGGGGAGGCAATTAGCACTGCCCTGTGTCCAGCCCTGCACAGCATTATGTTGTCACCTCTGCAGTCCACACTCAAGCTATGCAAAACAGACTCTTGAAAAATACTGCCTACAATCACATAATAAATATCAAAATTTTACAATCTTGTGACGCTGTATTACTAGCTGTCCAGCGTTGTATGTGACCTGCAGGCTGGATATACCTGTCCTAAGAAAAACCTGCATAGTCTGTATATATCACAAATAGAAAATTCAGTGGGGGGAAAAAAAGTTATTCAAATGCTGTTAATCATCCCCTGAAATTACTGACCTCCACCCAAATTTACCCCAAACTTACAGATCTGGGTTGTCCTGAGAATCTCCGATTGTAGTCATTAACATCTTGTAATACTTGCACTGCACCTTGCTGATCTTCACTGAAGAGTGGTAAAAATAATGTCACCTAGGCACAGCAGGAAGATTTTGGTACATGTTCAACCATCTCTTAAGTGCAGATATTGAGAATTACAATATATTACAGTATATCTTCAGTTAATTACGCAGAACAAACTTTGTGTTAACTATTATCAAACTAAAATGAAGACTACTAATACTTACATGGATACAACTTTTATGTTTTAACAAGTTATTTGTCTAAAACTCTTTAAAGAATATTCATGCATTTTTAAAAGACCCTTAAAAATGCGCATAAGAATCTTCCCTCTAAGAGTACTTTACTGTAGCACAAGTGAGATAGATGATTCAGAGAATAAATTTCACATATTAACCTAATTTCATTTCTTTAACCCAAAAAGGAAGTAGAGCATCCACTGAGGCCATTCTCTGTCACATTTAGAATCACTTTGCATTTCCACAAACAAGCAAAACTTCGTATTTCTCCCTGTGGACAATCGTACCAAAACCAAGGTAAATAACAAGAGACAGTAGTAAAAAGACAACAGCCTTTATATCTCTTGTAAGCACAGATAATTCACTTATGTTTTTGAACTAACTATCATGCAAACAAAAATACATGAATATGTTTTCGTGTCTCATTTTTCTGTTTAGGAGCTTCTAAGAAGTCTTGTATTTGAAAACATGTTCTGCCATAAAAACTTAGCTTATCATAGCAAACAGAAAATCTTTATACTTAAATTAAAATGATCTTCAGAAGTTCTCTCTACCCACCGTTGGAAGTTTTGAAAACCAGCTAACGGCTCTAACAGCTAGTAATTCCCAGCTCTGTGTTAAATCAAAAGGGGGAAAAAAAAGTAACATTCAGAAGGAAGGTCTCCTTTCTCCCAAGCATGAAACCATTACTTGGTTGTTGAACAACATTTATTCATTTCGTTACATTTCATGTCAAGATAAATGAGTTTTAAAAAGAATGTTTCTTTAAGAGTTCTGATGTTTTATTAAATCATGTGTTTCAAGAGAATGGACTCCTAACAGCTTTTGAGAGTGTAATGCAAGGTATGGTCTCATAGGAGATTTTAAATGCAGCAGTCACACTTGGAAAATAACAGCATAAGCAGAGCTCCAGTTCCAACACTGCTATAATCCTTCTGTGTGACTCATGTTGTTCATGTATATACACCTCCGTTTCTCACTTTAGTGATGCTTCACTTTCATTACCTTATGAGAGGGGTAAGAATGAATGCATAATCATGAAAGTAATCCCATCCAATGTATTTATTACTCAGAGGATGACAAAAGAGTATCTATCTATAGGGAGACATTAAAGAAAAGAAACTCTTCAAAATATCTTAGTTTCAGCTTTTCCATCTTCTATACCTTCTCTCCCTCCTCATGGGCCATACTCAAAACTCATGTATTCTCTAGGAATACCTATTTCTCTTTCCTTTATCTGTCTTCTTGTGGTCCTGCTAATACACCAAAACAAAACAGAATATAATGCATGAGCAGTGCCACAAAGCATGCTAGTAACTTCTAAAGAATTACATAACTCTGCAGTGTTTCCACTGTTAAAACATGAAGATACTTTTGTTAAAACAGAATGATACTCAAAGATTGAGCGTTAGTGAATTGCAAGAACATATTTCAAAGTAACAACGTAAGTTAATATGGAGTACTGAAGGGAGTAAGTTAATATGCTTCCTCTAGAAAGTTAAAATTAATAAAGACTAAAAGTAGGACCAAAATAAGAAATTGACAGTTTTGTGTGTGTTCTGTTTGGCAGGGATAACAGGAAGGAAGAGGACACTTCTTATAAACCAGTAGTATTTTAACTACTGGAAGTCTTCCAGACCAGCCAGGTTTCTCAGATACAAGTTCTGGTTTAGAAAGTTGTTTAACATCCCAAACACAAAGCAGAGAAGAATCATAGCTAAGATCCTATATTTTTCTGTTTTTCTATACTCCTTTACAGAATCTGGATAACCAGTGCTATTCCCTGAAATTTGAGTTTTTCTTAGTTTGTATTTTTCTCACACTTCTTATTTGCAAAAGCAAAAAGTTTAAAAAACAATGCCCACCATCTACATCTCACATATCCATGTACTTTCAGCTTCTCAGATTCCTTCTTCTATCAGTCTTAATAAGGCAGCTCAAATATAAGCACAATGCATTTCTTTGATAAACTGCAGTAGGTTGCTAAACCATAAGGCCCAGGATTACTTAAAACATTACCGTTTGTCTGCAAATTGGACAACGGATGGCACCAAGCCATGATCCATATCTCCAGTATGCAATAATGCAGGAACCTGACAAACATAAATTACAGACATTGACACTTCTGAGTTAAAACATAATTGCATGAAATGATACGATAAGCATCAGCAAAACAACAAAGATATGTGATTTTCAATATAGTGTTCATTGAAGATACAAAGAATAGATGCATTCAAATTCACCACTACTAATCAGAAAAATCCTGAACAGGTTCAATATCATCATTAATTTTAAGATACTATTTTCTGAAAAAACAGAAAACATCTTAACCATTAATTCAGAAAACAGATAATTAAAACTGTTAAGAACTGAAAAGTTAGAAATGATAAAAATATCAAGACATGTAAAATTAATCCTGAAAACCTGGTTTTAAAATCAGAGCTTTAATGGGTGAAAAAAAAAAGAGAAAACCTATTTTCTCTTACTGTTTTCCATATCTGTAATTTTTTTTCCTACAACTAAGCATTATATACACTATAAAACTAGACAACTGCAGTGAAATAATTATATTGAGAGGAAGCAAAATGCTATGTAGAGCTTTTCTATTTGTATTTCTCAATTCAAACAACTGGGCATCAAAGACAGGCAAATATTTTAAGCATTTTAAGCTAGTGGTAATTCCACAGGACTTCTACAAAACAAACAAAATCCTCTGTGATGATAACATCAAGCAGATTTTTAAAAATTTTTTTCTAAGCTAGTTTTTAAAATGGTACTTTTCCAAGTGTATTTCAATCCCTGCTGTTTTTCAGTATCAGGAAATAATGTCCACAATGCTTTTGAATGCATTTTCAATTCTGAGAGCATAGAAAAAATTCCAGCACATTCTGGAAGTAAGTATTTCTTAACATGCATTTTATGAACAAGTTATATAACAATTATTTTTAACACAGATGTGAAAATAAGCAGTTAAAATCCAGCAAAGCTTTCCATTGCGGTGACAGTACTACTGCCAGAAGTTTCTGCTTCTGTTCTGGTTTTATCTTTGGAAGTCAGAGTTTTCCAACTTACCACAGAAGAGATGCCCACAGTTTGTTTCTATGGGAAATGTAGCTTGTTGCAAACAGACTGGACAAGACATGTCTGTATAGAAGCGATGTCTGTCACCATTAGAAGCATCCTACTGGGACAGAAGAGAAATAGGAAATGCCAGAGATACTATTTATTATATAATAATTCCACTGAACTTAAATTAAAAAAAAAAAAAAAACAAAAAAAAAACTGTAAGTTGAATATTCAAATGCAAAACTAAATAAAACGCAACTAATTTGAAATTAAAAAATCAAACATGCTTAAATGCAAAAACTGTTTCACTAAGCATGTGCCTCTGGTGACAAGCACAATACTTTCCCCTTCACCTGTTACATATGTAAGAGCTTCAATCCAGTTAAAGACCAGAAAGGTAGAAGCCTTCAGGTCCTTCGCACTAAGTAGAATACATTAGGCAAGGCATACTGAAGCACTAGTATCAACTCAGGTCCACACTATTTTTCTAAATAGCTTTGTCCCAAATCAAGCACTTAAATTGCACTGCTTGCCAACTCCATAATTTAGGGTTCTCAAACACTGACACCAGCTTGTGTACATCACTGCTATGACCCGTTTTTCCCTCCCCAATTTGTTGTATGTTTCCTCTACTTTAATATGTATTCTTGTAAAAAAAAATCTGTCACTATTTCAAGAATGATTAAAGACTCCTCTGAACACTGTCCAATAAGTATGGCTTTTCTCATTCTAGGTTTGGGACTCAGCAACTGCTAATAATGTGGCTACACATTAGCCTCTCATCTGCACGCCAGAATTGTGTGCAAACCCTGTTGCCTTGCTCTGGCTGCTGTACCATTATTCTGCTATACAACTTATCCTTTTAAACATCTAAACATTGTCCTGTGGCAGCAAGTTGTTCTCCAGATTTCCTTTTCTTCACCACCAAACTCCCAGGAGCACTGCAGGAATCACACAACATAACCTAACACACTCCACCTTGTGGCAAAAGCTGGTCTGAAAAAACAACCAGTTACATCTTGTAATGACTTGACTTACTCATTAAAAAAAACCTACATCATCTCATTGTTTGATCAATTTTAAAGTTGCCTCTGTATGGTAAGTAAAGTTCAAAGATTCTCAAGACAGTTTTTTTCCAGAACCTTGGAGAGAAGCCTACACTGCCCCAAACCAGACTGAGAATGATTCCAATGCTCAGCAAAGCACCTGCTCAGTTTGAAGCTGCTGCCGAAGAGCTCGTACTAGCTCTTGATTTTCTGGATGTATGTTCTGGTGTTCATTCCTGTGAAAGGAAATATAAGCAGTAAGAAACACAAACACTGTGAACCAACACTGAAAAACAACTGACTGAAAAAAATGATTCAAACAAAAGGGAAAAAATAATTATTTCCTGCAATAAAGCATTTTAAAGGAAGTACACAAATAATTAAGGAAAAAGATTCTAAAGTAACTCTAGCCAGCAAGCTGTACAGCAGCAAATTTTCCCTAAGTTTCCATAATCAATTACTAACCCATTTTAAAACTCAATTTTGATCTGAAAAATAAAATTATCCCATCAGCCTGCAAAAAAACAAAACAAAACAAAACAAAAAAACATCAGCTGCTTGAAAGATTTAATATTCATCATGCAGAAAAAGTGTCTAGATTCCTCATTTTTGTGCAACATTTTACAAACTGGATTACTTGTAAATTCCTTTCCCCCCCCTCCCACTTACTACATAAGTTATGATGGACTGAAAAACCTGAACTACTTCAGGTTTATCTGCTACACTAAAGATGAATCCACCTTTACATAAGGGTAGGCAAATTTGCTTTAGAATGTTGACTTTACGTAACTATCAGCAGATTGGATATAAAAAGAAATCTCTGCAGACTCTACTGGCAAGAAAACTACAGGTTAGAAACATCAAGATGAAGAGGAAAGACACTGAAGAAAGGAGGCTGGATATATTAAAATTCAGAAGCACAACAGGAATGGGATTGGAAGTAGACATGGTGCTGACAACATTAAGAGGTGTTAAGTTACAATAAATAAAAGTTAACAACATTGTTTTATTTATCCACATGGATTTAACTAGTAATACATTCTGCTCAGCACTGCAGAGGTCTCAGATGGGTTGTGTCTTCCATTTTGAGCAAAATGCATAAAAAGATGTAGGAAAATTCAAGAAAGTTCAGAAGAGAATGATAAGATTGATACTGCTGACATTTGTAAAATGTTAGAGAAAAACAGAAGAAATGGGACCTTGTATGGGAGACTGGTTATGGAGAGGAAGCAAGATAAATCTTTCAATCTAATAGATACGAGTAACTATTTTCCACAGTTATCTAAGGTTGGTGGTAAACCATTTCAAACTACTAAGTGCACCAAATCAGACAAGATTACCTCAGGGTACTGTGAGCCATGTCTTGCTAAAAGTTAAATTGAAGAATGTGTTATACTGATTCCAGGAGTGACCTAGGCAGCCTGATCCTGTGTCAGAGCTGAAGGTTGAACTGGTTGAATTTTCACAACTTTTTCTGAATCCGTTTATACAAATTCCTCAGTATCTCTAGGCCCATCTGCAATATTTCCTTCATTTGATGAAAGAAATCACAACACTGCATTATTGCTGTAACGTTTTCTCCTTTATTCTTTCTTCAAAGAGGAACAGAAATAAAACTGTATTTTCAGGCTAACAATACTGTGATTACTTGCAAAAATTGCATTTATTTAGCAGTAATGTAGTAGCGAGTGAAAAATGAAAACTATATGACATGCTTACACTTCACAAATCAGACCTTGTGGAAGTTGTAATACAAGTTACATATTTAACAGTATTTTCCTGTCTGGACTCTACAAATTGGCATGTTTTGCACCTTTGTTTTGTCAAAAGTTTGATACATATTGAAATTCAAAGCAAACCACATGTAACAGGAAGTGTGAATTACAAGCCTGTTCACCTTGATTCCCTCATAAACAACTAATTGCAAATTTGTTACCGGTGTTATCTAAAAAAGACAAACTGAAGTTAACAGGGCATATCTTGCACTTCATCTTGGTGCAAATGATTTACATACATGACTTCAGTCTGGTATTACATACTATCTTCAACATGTGCGACTGTAGAGGCACAGAAGTAGAACATCTGTTGCTTATGCATCAGATGCTTCACTGGCAGAACACTGCACAATGTCCAGAAGGGGACGGACAGCGTTCAAGGCACATCGCAATCACAGCTTCTGTTGTGCTGTTAGTATGAGAAAGTACATTGGAATAGTGCTACGTAACTAGAGACATCTGCCTAGCTTAATACAAGTCAGAAAGAGATAAGGTTAGAAGTAAACTACTTTCCTTGTTTCTGAGTTTTAAACCCCGTAACTCGAGGAAAGAAATATCATAACATGGCAAGACTGTACCATGTCTTACAAAGAGCCCCACAAAACTATCACTACCAGGAGGAAGGCTGCCTATTCGTTCAGTGTGAGCTGTCATGCATGGGAAGTGAGGGACGGGACATGTTCAGACTGGCACCACAATTGTTTTTTTGTCATTATTGTTGTTTTTTCCTCCAAGGATAAAGACCTGATTTCTGCTGAAAGTACTAACCACATTTTATATCAAACCTTATGTATTCATTTGCAATGTGACGATATTTATTTATGATATTTAAAAGATGATAGTAAAAATCTGGCTGCATTTCATCTAAATGAACAACTCTAAAACATACAGGGTCAACAAAAGTTCCTTACAGAAACAGACCTAAACATCTGTGACTTGGTTTTTAGTAACTTGGTAATTAGTAATTAAGTTTCAAAACCAAAAGCAAAGACTTCCCACTCCTGCCCTAATGTCATGCTTCCTTGAATTTTCCATTATAAAAAAGAAGAGTAGCAATACCCCCTAAAAATTCTTTCCACATTCAGCTTTTGTCTCTTCCTAGATTTTCTGGAACAGGCCCTTTTTGCAAGGGCATGTAGTGACAGGACAAAGGTGTAATTGCTTTAAAGTAAAAGAGGGAAGATTTTAGACGAATGTTGGGAGGAATTTGTTCACTCGAGGGTGGTGAGGCCCTGGCACAGCTGCCCAAAGAAGCTGTGGTGTCCCATTCCTGGAGGCACTCAAGGCCAGGTTGGATGGGGCCCTGGGCAGCTGAGCTGATGGGGGGCAGCCCTGCTCACGACAGGGGCTGGAACTGGATCATCTTTAAGGACCTTCAAATCCATAATATTCTGTGGTTTTATGACTCCATGCTGCCTGCTTTCCCTTCTCTAGCATTTTTTTTATTTAGTTCCTGCAATTATACTCACTCTCCTAAGCCTTCCTTCACACGTTTGTGCTCAGGACCTATTTCTACCCAAGTTAACATTGGTAGCAAAGACAAGGGGGCAATGAACACAGAATAGAAAACACAAAGATAACCAGGGACAAATAAGAAAATCCTTCTTCTGTCTCCTGTCTCTCCTCCACTGCCATATATTATTGTACTTCATGTACTGTTGGGATTTTATAATGCACAGATTTTGATGGAGACAGCACAAAGAATTTCAGGGAAAAACACTGCTTAATACAGACAACATTCAAAGGCTACAGAAGGCAAAGTGTATATCTAAGAAGATGCTGACAAGACCTACAGCAGTCAGTTATATCATGCAGAAATAAATTTTTTGTAGACTTTTAGAATACAGGAACTTTTTGCTCAAATTTGTTCACCATTCTAGAAGATAAACCAGCAGGGCACGTACCAGGATCCACAGACAGTCTGATACAGGTAGAAAGTAACAAATCCTCCCCCTCCTTCCTGTATAACCCTCCATCATCAACTTATCATCTTCCTGAACACTAATCCTAAGCAAACTTCCACTGCCCTTGCCCACTGCTGACCAACCTTATTTTGCTCACTTTCTTTTATGTTCTTAATTTATCTTCCATTATAAATAGTAAACATTTTGGTTTTAAACATTAACTGAAAACTTCAAGTTCAAGTCACATGTGCTAAGAATAACACACCAAGGGATAACAAAAGCACAAGAGGGAGAAGACTCCTAAGGGAAGAGAAGCATTGTTATGTCATTTAAATAACTGAAACAGCCTCAGCAGGAAAAGCATGTGGATGTGTGTTAACTTCTCTAAGTTCCTGGTTGTGAACTGCAGCACTGCCCTGCATTTTAACTAAGCTTTTCAGCTCCTGGTGAATTTCATGGCACGCTCTCAAAAACACCCTACCTTGCCAGTACTTCTCATACAGACAGGTCCTCCTTGGATAATGCCAATGCATCACTAATATTCAGTCCCCTAAATTATTAAAATTGCCTTCATAACTCTACAGACATGCATTAAAATCAATAAAAACTAAAATCAATAAAAAGCCAGTCTGAAGCTCAGATTTATTTTCCCAAAAGCATACAGGCTAGTGTTTGTTAGGTTGTAAGGAAAAACTCTGGAACTACAAGTAAGGTTTGATTACTTGACCTTTAAAGTTCTTTCATTCTGGACTTACTCTTTTCTTTCACAGAAAGTATAATAAAATCCACTGTTTTCCAAATATTTTCATAAATAAATACATCAGCCTATTTATTTATGAGAATTCAACTAGCATGTGCATTGAAGGATTATATTCAACCTTAATTGTGCAGTCATTATTAATAAATCTCTACTTAGTAATGAAATACAACACACCAACCAGTTTGTGAATTTAGTTTTTTTCAGTAGTAAAGAATGATGAACATATAGAAATGTTAGACGTGAGATTTGAGAAATTCATCATTTAATTCTAACTTTGAATTAAATTACGAACTCGACTGAGCAACTGGTTAAACAGTAAATGATCAAATAATCATTTCCTTCATGTCACAAAATAAGTGTTGTATATTTTTCAGTTTGTTGAGAAAGTTAGAATTTAACAAACCCAAGCACGTTGATCAATTCCTATCAACATATTCTCACCTGAAAAGCGTATATATCAGAGCAGCAATGAAAGTGAAACTGAGCACAACTGCCACCAGTACCTGGTCACTTACTCCTTCTATAACTGAATCATTATCTAGCTTCAAACTCTGAACTTCTGCCTGGTGACTGTCCATCACAGCTCTAAAATGCAAAAAGAAATATATATGTATACTGAATATCTAGAGATACACATACGCATAGACACATACATTATTAAACAGTTACAAGTAATATATATGCATGTATCTATTTACACACAAATTCTTGAAGAAAATAATCAATTGCTTGGAAAAAAACGGTAAAAAAAAAGATAAAACATGCATTTTACCTAATAGAGCTTGCTGCAAAGGACTACAAAACATTTGCTTTGTACAGCAGTAAACAAGTCTTAATGACTGCATTGCAATCTAAAGACTTTTTTAAACACATTGGTCAAATACCTTACCTGAAAACCTTTACAAAATACATTAAGGACAGGACATTCTACTGCATTTGACATGTTCTAACCACAACCTTGTTTATGAAAAGTATGATTCTACATTGTCAAGGATTTTTGCTATTGCATAATGCATGACTGCTGCTAAGGTAAGACAATGTAGTATAGTATTAAATGTCTAGCTGTATACACATAAAATATCTGATGAATTCTGTATTTTATCTATCTTTTCTATGCCTTACCTTCTTTCAGAGAGAAACATGGGGAAAACTTGCAAACAAAAGGGTATTTTCAGTCCTCCCTGGTCAGACTTGTTTGTTTTATATTCATTTTGCATATGCAAAAATCAGAATGACTTGCCAGCACTAACATTCATTAACTTACAGCTGGAGAAACAAGCAACATAAAAGTCTGCAATATACTTCTAAATCACTCCTGCTGCAATCAGGAAGTGAAATGAACTGCAGCTGTGAATACTATGAAATAAGAAGAATGAAGCTAAGTCTGGGAAAGGTAACAAAAAAATGTTGTATTTAAGCTGTGTCCTTATGTGTTGGAGTATTCCCATACAGAATTGACATAAGATCCAGCATCAGTTTATGAGGTCAGGGGAGACTGGTATCATTTACTTCACTTTCTATTCCTGTGTGGGTGCCTTAAGCCTGCAAGCTTTTATTAGAGTATCACACTAGTTCACAGCTCATTTGTCACTGTCAAATTTGAACTTTGCTGTCTAACAAATATAACTACAAAAGACATTACCTAGCTCTGAATTAAGTGCAAAAATGGAAGAGAATACAAGTTATGGGGATTTTAGTGCACAGTTGTAATATGCAATCCTGACAAAATTTCAACATGCCAGTCTAGAGCTAACGTAAAATGTCATCTTTTTCATAAGATTTGCTTTTGCTCTCCAGATCTATTCTTGTATGAGTTGTGAAGCTTTCTCCGAGCTTTGTAACATCTGTGGGAACTACCTCTGTAGCAGTAAGGCAAGGGAAACTAGTATATTCTAACATTACTATAAAAAGGGTAAGTGGTATAATTAAGTACCATAGGAGCAGAGAAAACATGGAGAATGAAGGTAGATTCCTTTCACTGTTCTTTTATTTTTGGACTTCCACTGTGGAAAACAAAATGAAATAATGAAGCATATTTGAAGTGAAACGATAAGCTACATTTTCCTAATGTGTACCTCAGCCTGAACTGTGACTCGCAGCTTCTCACACACAACTGTCAAAGTCTAGCTACTGAAATGCCAATTCACATTTGGAAAGAGTAGGTTTTCCTAAACACAGAATATCACAGACTCACGAAGAGCCATGTCTGAAATAGGTCAATACTGACACATATTTCATATATAGAGTAATGAGCAAAAGACCAGATATTTGTGGAAAGGTTTTACACAGAAACAACAAACTACACAAAGAGCTACAGCATGGTGCTGTATACCTTGTTACACAATTATATAGCTTTTGTTAAAGCTACAAGGCTAAGCTGCTGTGGAAATCTTCTGAGCCTAAATTCCTGGCATGGGGTGACGCCTCCCCAGCTTGACACACCCAAACTGTGCACTTTTTTCTCATCATCAGTCTTGAAGTTTCTCTCTCTTACAATACCTCATTCTGGGACATCCATTTTTCACAATTGCATCTGAGGGACAGTGCTGCTATTTTCAGCTCCTACACTGTCCCTCCTTAAGCACCATCATCTCTGCACTAATCTTAACTACGTCACACTGTCATTCCTGGGTTGTTTGCTCCATGTACCTGCAGAAATAAATGGTGAGGAATTGGTCCACAGTCTTAAAACAGCTCTGTCAGAACAGACCAGCGTGCTAACAATAACTGCATCCTATTGATTTCCAAGCAATTTTCCAGAAATGCACACTGTGGCAGTGAGACACATAGATGCCTTCACAGCCTGGCTTTAACTGCCCGGGTGAGTATGCAAAAAACAAAACAAAACAAAGACCTAACAATGGTCCCAAAGAGAACACTACTGAAATAAACTATTTGAAAATTGTCTGACTGAAGGAGAATGGAATTTTCTGATCTCAAGTCCGCTTGTAACATTTTCCAACAAAATATACAGAACTGCAAGCTTGCAGTTTACATTTCCTCAAGTGCAACCACAATAGCACACAAACAAATTCATGGTGCTCTGAATGCTGACAGCCCTCCAACTGCTGCTATGGAATCTGGCCTTCCACTGCAAGAGCCTAGCAGGAGCACCCTCTTTCAGCCAGTACAATAAAGAGCTGAACAACCTTAGCTCATAAGGCTTAGCATTAAGTGATGTAATGAAGTTGTCCTCAGTGACAACTGGCACTGACAAGGACTAAGTGTATCTCAGGGAAGACTTGTAGAACCAGACACTAGCAAAGATATCTAACCTCTCATAAAATATTATGCAGAAATAATTGGATGCTGTACAAGAGAAACTTGATGCTACTTTTATAAAATCATTTCGTTCAACCTGTTTAACTTGATCCATCCTATTTGGATGATTATGCAAAAATAACTGTATTTTCTCAGCTTTTTCAGATTGGCCTTGGAGACCACAGACATTAAATAATTTTAAAGTTGTTTGTTTGTCTCTGTAGATTTCTATTAATTTTTGTTTAATAATTACAAAGATGTCAAAGTTTTGATGCTGTGCTTCTATTCTTTCATACAAAAAATTAATTCTAGTCCATACTAGCTTTTTAAGAAAAGCTCCACAACAACAGAATGACTTCAGTTAAAGAAGTGAGTAGTAAGAAACAGATTAAATTCTAAGAGTTGATCTTTGCTTAGATTAATGATCTTTTTTTTCCTCTTTTTAACCATTCAGCAGGAAGGTGGCTTTCTGAAAAGAAAGCATAACCTCACCCTGCCTTCCAATTAAAGGAAAAAAACAACAAACAAGCTCCCATCTAAATTGGAATTCATACCATCAATTTCAGAATGACAACAGCACAGGTTGCAAAGTTTCAAAAACCAACAAAAACTCCCAAGGTAGAAAAAGATAAGAACAACAAAAACCTTTAATTTTCAGCTCATCTTCAAGCACTTGCACAAGGCAAACTAGCTCAACTGCCCAGTAAGTAAAAAGGACAAGCGGTTACTCCTCCATTCCTTGAGCCTCTCTAAATAACAGCTGGACTTTGCAGCACAGTGATCAGATTTATGTGACCCAGGATTCTGTAAGGCTACAGAATGTAAATAGCCTCAAACAGGTTCAGCTGGTCACAGAACACTTCAAAGTAGAAAGGGATGGAATTTATGCTGGTAAGAAACATTTCATACTACTCACCTGAACATATAACAACTTTGCTTCTCCTGAGTTTTGCTGAGACAGATTACAGAGAGAAAGCAAAACTGTTTTGTTTACGCTTCCAATAGCAATCTTCCCACTTCATGGTTAAGTTGAGCAATAGATGCAACTTCATGTGAAAAAAAAAGAGGACTGCAAGAAGTGACGTCACGTTTATGGCAATCTTATTCTTGAAAACTCATACTGATAATACTGAAATATGAGGGCATGAAGACCCCACACTGCTGTGGATATATCAGTTTCCTTACGAGATTTGAGGAGTATTATTAAGATTTCTGATGTTCTACATATAGCACAGTAAGAGCAATAGCCATGCCATAACTTGCATACCAATGAAAACCAACTTTGCCATGACGTATTAAGTATTTGCTGCTAGCTACCCAAAGTCAGAATACCCCCACAGCTATCTATAAGATTTGAATTTTCCAAGTTCAGCAAGTATTTCACCATATGCTGATATATTCTTGGAAAGACAGAGATCTTAGGATTCACCACCAAAGGAGTGGGAAAAAAGGGAAAAAAGCAGCTCTCTTCACCTCAGGGAAATAAACAATAAAATAACATAGATACAGTACTGCTGTGAAATACTGATTAGTAACCAAGAGCAACACTGATTTTAAGAGAAGGCTACAATTTGCTCAGCATCTGAAAAATACGTTTGATAACAAGTCCTTTCAAGAATGGGCTGAGAGGCAACTGAGTAAGAATGACCATCCTAGTTCAGTTCTACTTCTGCTCTTTTCATCTTGTTGCAGTACTGACAGCCACCATCAGTGCTCAAAATATGAAAAATTGAAAGATGAAGATGGGAGGGGGCCAAAGTGTACGCAAGAACTTATAATATATTTTGCCTGCTGTCTTTTACTAGCAGAACTATTGCTTCTTTTCCCTAACGATGTTTCTCACTTTGGAGAGGCTATGAGTTCTCCAGGATAAATGAAATCCTAAAATACTACTGAGAAAGGCAGGCTTACAAAACTGTAGCATTCGTAAGTACAGATTACTCTTGCAATTCAATTCTCATTTTTTTTAAACACCAAAAAGACTTGTCCTCGAGTCCTATGTCCTAAACTAAGTCCTCAGAAGTTTCTTCCAAGATAAAAGGAACGAGTACAAATTGGTTTCATTTGTGACAGCAGGTTTCTCCTAAGTGACCTACTTTAGGTAACAGAAATCAACTTAAGTACACTAAAAAGTGGCATGTTTATTCTGTAGCAGCCCCTGTAAAGATGCATATTCACCTATTTTGAAATACTTAAGACATGATTTGAGAGCTTTTGGCTACAGTGAAGAGAACAACAGATTCCCCAAAAAAGGGAAAATTATTAGATACTGAGTAATAACTGAGATCCTTCTTGTTTGAATAACCTATTTTCTACTTTGTGGTATTAGTGTGTCCTGATCACTTGTGAAGGACCAACAAAAAATACTTACAGGTGGGACCTGACACCACTGTGTGGTTCCAAACAGAAATTTTGCTAATGGATTCTACAGTTTTTCCTTCATGCAGGATCGAAGGGTATGCCTAGAGTGCATTCAGAGACCATAACAATGGCATACTTTCAGCATGTATGTTGAGCAAGAGTGAACGTACAAGTAGCACTGATGGTACATACACACTGAAGGTGTGCTAAAGCTGGGCTTTGAAGCAGCAGTGCAGACGTGTACAACCTTTTAGCAGAGAAATGAGTAATGGCAGTGGGTATACTTAGAAAATGTCTTTTTTGACAAAGCAGTATTTTCTTCATTTTTGTGACTGAATTTTTACTCGCATAAAGCACGTAACAACCCCCAGTGCTATGTATCTCTGTCAGTTTTAATATCAGGAGGAAAGAAACCAAAGGGCATGTGTAATATGGGAAATAAAAAATAAAATAAAACAGCATACAAATTGACAAGATACAAACTGTGAGAATCTTAAAACAGACTTGGTAATATTTTACTAGGACTTCATGCAATCTATTCATACAGTTTTATTATGAGTTATCAGCTACTTTGGAGTCAGAAATCAGAACAGCTGACTGAGTAAACTATAGCTGAATACATTAATGTGCATACACATTCACTGCAGAAGAGAAAAATAAAAATGCATACAGTCCTGCTAGATTTACTACAAAGCCATAACAGGGCAGGGCCATTTCAGCAGGGGATAACACTTCTTCAGTATTTAGATCTGCCTCACCAACATGCTTGCCTGACAGAGCAGCTCTCTGCAGGGCTGGAGGTCAGCAGCCTCTGTGTGACATTTCCCTAATTAAAAAAACAAAAGAAAGAAAATCCTAATCATAGAATAGAATCATTGAATCCTTAGAGTTGGAAGGGACCTCTGAAGGCCGTCTAGACCAACTCCCCTGCAATGAATAGGGACACCACAATTAGATCAGGTTGCCCAGGGCCTGATCCAACTTTGCCTTGAAAGTCTCCATAGTCGAGGCATCAATCAAAACACTAGGTAACCTGGTCCAGTGCCTCACTACCCTCACTGGGAAAGATTTTTTCCTTATACCTAACCTAAATCTACCCTATTTGAGCTTGAAACCATTTCCCCTTGTTCTGCCACCACAGACACAGAAATAGTGTGTCCCCTTCTTTCCTGTAGCTCCCCTTTAAATATTGAAAGGCTTCTATCAGGTCACCTCGCAGCCTTCTCTTCTCCAGGCTGAATGTAATCATGCTTTGCAAGTTAGAATCACTAAAGATGCAACCTTCAGAAGCACATTCCACGGGGCAAAATACTAAGTGACTAAGTCTCATTTTTTTTTTGTCAGCCTGTAACTGCTGATGGCTTGAAGAAAAAGACAAAGGCAGTGATATGTACAGCATTCCTCTTTGGGGTATCTGTCTGCAGGGCGCGTGGCCTGTGTAAAACAGGCCCCAAAAGAGTTCTGAACTCCTCCATAAGGCTCGAACAGATGGAGGTTCAAGGCCCATAAAGGAGCAAGGCTATAAAGACACGGAGTGCAGTGCAGACGAAGCACTCCCTCAACTTCAAAGCGACAGAGCAGCAGAACAGGCTGTGCACAGCATCTCCTCTGGAGATATTCAAGACCCATCCGGACACTTTCCTGCGCGTTCTGCTGCAGGGAACCTGCTTAAGCAGGGCGTTGGACCGGATGATCTCCAGAGGTCCCATGCACCCCTAAGCCCGCGTGCGGGCGGGGCCACGCGGAAGGGCCTGTCAGCGCCTTCAGCTGGGTGCCTTCTGGGCAGGCAGGGAGGTGAAGCAGCGTCACTTCAGTACAATAATGCTCAGTGAAACACGGCAATACTCAAACTGAAGCCAAAAGGGCTTTTCATTTCTTTCCAAGAAAAAAAAAAAAAAAAAAAAGCCCAACAAGTCCTTACAGTAGGAAGCAATGCTTCCGCACGCAAGCTCACACCTGCGGCGGACGGCAAGACGAGAAGCCCCGCTGCGTGTCCTTCCACCGGCAAAGCCCGGCGCTCCTCCTTATCCCCGACACGGAGAGGGGAAGCGAACTGCGAACGCCCCGCGCCGCCGGTCGCAGCCCCACCTCAGCCCGCCGCAGGCCGCGGCCCTCCGCCCCCCGTCAGCGCCCAGCCGCGGGGCTGAGCTCCGCCGCCGGACCCCGCGCGGCCTTCGCCGCGTCCCGCCCGGCTGCGCGCGCCCAACGACCCCCCGAGGCCGGTACGCTCCCGGCGGCGGGGTCGCGCCGGCGGTACCTCAGCTCCGGGAGCGCCGCGCTGCCCGCCGGCCGCCGCCCCGCCCCCCGGCAGCAGCGTCGCGGTGCGACGAGGCGAGGCGACGAGACGAGAGAAGAGAGGGGAGGGGAGGAGAGGAGAGGCGGGCGCAGGGCGCAGGCGCGGGCGGGCGGTGCCGCCGGGACGCTCTGACGTGTCCGCGCCGCGGCCCGGCCGGGACGGGACAGCGGGGGACGAGGGGCGGCAGGGAGCGAGTCGCCGGCAGCACCGCGCCGGGCAGCGCCCCGATATGTTCAACGTGGAGAGCCTGGAGCGCGCCGAGCTGGGCGAGAGCCTCCTCACTTGGGTGAGTGCCCGACGCCTCCGAGCCTGGGCCGCGGCTCCGGCCCCCGCCCCGGCCCTGGCTCCGGCTCCGGCCGCCGCTTTCCTCCGCCCGGCCGCGCCCCGGACCGAGCGCTGCGGCCCCGCCTCCGTGCTCTGCCCCCGCACCGCGGTAACAAAGGAGCCGGCGCCCCGCGGCGCCGCCACCGGCACGGCGGAGGGAGCGGGGCCTGCGGCGGGCAGGTGCCCGGCTCCGTGCGGAGCTCGGTGCGGAGCCCGGCCCACGGCTCTCTGTCTGTCTGCGTTTCTTCCCGTATCCCTGAGCGATGCTTTAGCCCCGGTCACAGAGATTCGGGAGGTCGGGGATAACGGACTCGTAACGGATTGCCTTTTTCCGTGTGATTGTAGGGGATGTTGGCCTTGGGTCTGCAGCTGCACGGAGTGTGGTTGTAGCACACCTAGGATGCTGTATTTCTGTGGTTGGGAAGCAATGGGGTCAGCGGGTTTCCGCCACGGGAGTACCCTCGCTGTGAAGCTGTTAGAGGCGATGGCTGGAATCTGTCTTCTGTTTAGATGGTGTAAGGTCAGAGCTGAATGTGGCTACGATGGTGACAGGTTACTTGGGAAACAATAGGTTATGTGTCTCTGAAATTAAAGGAGCAGAGCAATGGAAGTACAGCTGTTAGAAGTGAGCGGGTGGCCTGGAAAGGGCGGGAGGCTGAGGATTTGGGAAGGGTGTATACGCAATACCTGGCTGCACTGATCGCTGCCGTGTGCGGTCAGAAGTGTTTTGGTTTCCTTCCTTTGCATCCTTGCCAGTCTTTGTATTTTTGCAGTGGTTTGTCACATGTCCTGCTTTTGGCTCCCCTTGCTCTCTTTCTCAGATACTGGGAGTGGAAGTCCTCTTGCTGGTAGGATTTAAGGAAGTAGACGTGTGCAAGTCCCAGCAGAGAAGGACTCAGCACCAGGAAGATGAGGAAGGCCTTTTGGGGTCATGGGGGAAGACCTGTTCACATGTGTTGCCAGCATCTGTTTTCACTTGAGCTGTCAGATACATGCTTCTGGTTCTCTGTGGCGATAAAGCAGCCACACCTCTGAGAAAAGCATAAGCTTAGATGCACGCCTAGCAGGTGCCCACATTCCCAATGCCTTTGTAATTCCCCAGATTTCCAGGTAACCAGCAGATGAGACATTTACTTGTAAGCATGAGGCTGCTGTAACCTAAAGATGTGAGCTGCTACAGGATTTTCTGTCAAAAAGATTGAATTTTCTCTTGTTGGTCTACTAGGAGTAAAGTGGAGCGTTGATCTCTCCCATTACACCCAGACATAGGCTCGCAAAATAGACTTGAGAAAATGCCAGCAAGGGAGAAGACAGAACACAGAGGAATAAGGCATTGGCTGCTTTCCTGCTCCCTACAATAATTCTTTCTACAACCAAACATGATATAAACACATATATGTGTTTTTTGAAGGCCTGCCTTGCCAACACTTCCATGCATTCAGATCCAGTGGAGGCTGGCTTACTCTTGATATAAATTAGAGTTAGCAGCTCTTGTCTGCAGAGAGTAGGACAGCTGGGGGTTTAACCCATCAGGCTGCTCAGCATCACAGAGATGTGTGTTCACTCCCTGCCAATGCGATGGGAAAGACAATCAGAAAAAAAACAACAACAAAACACAACTTGTGGATTGATGTAAAGACAGTTAAATGGGACAGAAAAGGAAGGAAAAATAATTTAACTGTGATGGAAGAATATAAAGAAGAATGATGCACAATGCAGCTGCTCATCACTTGCCAACCAGGGCCTACTCAGTCCCTGAACAATGGCTGCCTCTCAGCCAACTCCCCTTGGTTTTATTGTTCACCACAACACCGTGTGTTATGAGACATCCTTTTGGCCAGGGTGGGGAAGCTGTCCTGGTGATGTTCCCTTCCAGTTCCTTGTGCCCCCTCCCAACCTCCTCGCTGGAGAGGAGCTGAAGTGTCCTTGACTTGGTGTAAGCACTGCTGTGCAGCAGCTCGAGTGTTGGTGTGCTATCAACATTATTCTCATCTTAAATCTGAAGTACACTGTATCCCAGACAAAGCTGGGACAGAAGTCTGCTGCACATCAGTAAAGCTAATGTTCATTTGTCTTGGATTATTCTAAAAACCAGTGGAACCAGCTAGCAATTTTTTCTTTGCTGTGTTTGAGGTTGCCACTTAGTAATTCAGTTGTCTCAATCACCAAACTTTACTGCTAACATTGAAAATTTTCAATTTCTTTAAAATGTTAAGCCATTCATGGGGGTTAGTAACTCCATAGGAGTTACCAGTCAGTCATGTGGTCATGACATATTTGAGCAGTAGTTTGCACTTACTATCTTTGGCCCTTAAACTGTGTACCAGTCCAGTGGAGTCTGTAGTAATGGTTTGTGCAGATCCCTTTATGTTTCCAACCTTTCCATCCCACTGAGCTAAACAAGAGCTGCTTATTTTTTGGTGAGCAGAAATATTAGTAAATCTTTATCTTAAAAGCATTAAAATCAGTGCATTTTCTGACTGAATATATGCATGGGGTTATGCGTTATTTTTACTATTTCATTATTTCTGTGTGACTTTAGATTTTAAGCTGTCTCAATTGAAAAAACACACACACACAAAAAAAATAAAGTGAAGAAGAAAGGTAGCCTTAGTTTCTTCCAAAACATGGAACTTGCAAAAAAAAAAAAAAAAAAAAAGTGGCAAAATTTTTTTTAGTCCTCTGTGAAACTAGTTGTATGAACAAGTTGGTTTTTTTTGTTTGTTTGTTTTGCCTGGCTTTTCTCCCAGGTCCTGTGATGATTCTCAGGAAACCGCTCATTTAGAAGGGAAAACAGGGTTGTCTTAATTACAGTTAATGGAACCTCAGGTGGCCACTCTCTTCCATTGTGCCAGAGAAGGTGGCTGTTGTTAAGAACTGGTTTAACCTCCCCGATTGCTTGCTTCACATTCATGCAGAGGTACTTGAACAGGTTTGTCTATGTTTTAAGTAGAGCAGATAAGGCTTTCCACAGGTCTGAAAACTTGCTCAGCCAACACTACTGTTTGGTGGCTTAGGCACAGGTGAGCTGAAACTGCTCCTCCCTCTGCCAACTCATGATTTTAATAACTGAGAGTGTCCCTCAAGTCTTCCCCCATGCGTAGCTGAGGTTCCTTTTCTGGTATCTTTAAGCTAGAACAAACAGCTTACCTGTGAATATGTTTTGGTGTTTACTGTTTCACCCCACCTCCTTTTACCTCTCCAAGAGCTTTGTGGTGTGGGTTCCTGAATAATTCTTGTTTGGGATGTTAAGCTGAGAGAGCTTTTGCTTCCTTCCATTTCAGCAGGTGACCATGATGATCTTCTGAGGCAGCCAGGGTAGTAGCACCTAGAGTGAAGATGAGTGAAGGACTGGAGCCCCACTACTGACATCTCAAAGCTGATATTTATATTTGAGTGGTGTTTGCAGGCTGCTGTAATTGCAGAACTGTTACCCTATCAAAAATCTCCCAGAAGCCTCTCCTGAGACTATTCTAGGCACTGTGGTATAGTTATCCATGCAGTACTACAGCCAAGGCTGTTTAGAAAAACATGGCAGTGTGGTAAGTCTGCTGTGAGTTTAAGACTGTTTCAGCATATCTAACACAGATTCACAACATTTTTTTTTCTCTTTAAAACTTGTGACTAGTTCACAGATGACTATCTGGATTGTTTTGCTTTTTGTTCAGTGCTAGGAATGCTTTTCACTCAGATGCATCACTGAGTCATGTCTTGAAACATGGAGAGCTGTCAAATGTGTGTGTGGCATTTGCACTGTAATGTGCCAATGTCTGAAATCATTGTGGTGTCTATGGGCTTTCTGGTGTGTAATTTGATAAATTTTCTTTTTTAACACAGAAATAAGGTCTGATATTGGAAAGACTGCTTAGCTTTGGTGTAAAAACAGCACGGTTCCTCAAAGAGGTCATTGCTATGATTTTTTTTTTCCTTCATGTTGGTAGGTAACTTATTTTGCCATATGCTGCCTTCACCAAGTTGTCTGCTTGCTGTCCTGCCTGCTTTTGCTTTCTCTTCCAACCATCAAGGCCAAATATAGTTTTCCTGGTAAACATGTTAAAGCCTTATGATGACTGTGAATTTTGTAAATGCTATACAAGACTGGATTTCTCTGGATTTCTCTAGTTGAAAAACACATCTTGCCATTTGTGTGGTGTCAGTTCTTCGATCTTCCTCCGTTTAGGCTGGACAGTCTTCTCAGTACTGTGTATGTGTCTTCTGTGTGGTGTCTTGTCTCCAGCTGGAAGTGTTTGCTTGTGCTAGTCTGAAAATTAGAGACTGTGTGAGCAAGTGCTGAAATAGAGATTCTTACTCTTCAAGAAGTCTGCTTGTAAACAGTGTTTGGGCTCCTTTTACAGAGAGGACCAGTGCTACCAGAATTTGCTAGTGAAAATGTGTTTTCCATTCCTGTCCAATTATGTCTCCTTTTTGAACTACGCTGTTCTTGATCCTTGTTCATTTGTGCATTTAAGAACTCACCTGATTTCTTATGGATGCAAAGATTGAAACTAGTTAAGCCTGTTTGAACTCTTTCAATCCTTAATTGCTGACCACAAAGTTTAGGGTTTCATTTCCTTCTGATGATACTGTTGCATCAGCAATTCTTACCTGTTGAAGAAAAATCATCAAATTTCAGTAGTGGCTGCTTGTGCCGGTGATGACGGCAGATGAAGAAAGTCGTTTGAATATGTTGTTGTTTGGAGAGAAGAAAACACAGAGCTTGCCAGCATTTGTGGAGCATAGGTGGAGATATCTGGCCTAGCTGCATCTGCTGCAACAGACCAGTAGATTAAGTCTTTATTATTTTTAGTGGCCTCTCAGTAGGATGGCAGAGTTTGCTGTTCCACTCTTTTAGGCATAGTTATCTGAAAGGCTGATATTCTGAGCATCTCATGCACTGTGTTTGGAGGAGCTGGGGTATCTCATACCATTATTTGACAGTAAGGATTTTTAATCTGTTGTTGGAGATGAAACAGAGGCAGAACTTCTCTTAAAGTCTGTGAACAAGTGATACAAGAATGATAATATACAAATAGAGAGATTAAAGATAATAAGATACATTTTGTATCTATTCCTCATCTTTCCCCTTTGTTTATATTACAAATGTGTTGAGACTGGGAAAAGGATGAGAACAGGATTTGTTAGTTTTGGACAATACTCTTCATGTTTGCTTTTTTTACTTTCTGTTATTTTTTAATATGTCATGGCCTTGTCCCAAATTTTGCCCTTTTTTTTTTTTTTTTTTTTCCAATTCACCCCTTTCTGAAGAGCTGCTCAGTAGTGATCTCTGAAGAAAAA